TCCAATCCGAAATAAATTTTTGGACTATTATATATTTTCCCAACAGTTCGTAGACCCTGTTGCGTCTCTGCTGTTACTGCAAGTTCCCAACATGTCTTTTTAAAGAAATAGTTTTAAGTAGGGTGCTAAACAAACCAGGAGCCTTTGACTCGACTCGTAAATGTCTGAGCTTACATGTCTAAATTTGGTTGTTAGCACCAGGCTTGGAGTTGTATAAAAGCTCGTTTAATAAAAGGCTTTAGGTTTTAATTCAAAAGCTCGGCCTTAAAGCCTCTCAGGCTGGTCTAGTATATTATTTTTTATTTATATTTTATATTTTTTATACTACTTGTAATAGCCTTCTTTTTCCTCTCAATTCATTTCATCTCATTTTATTGGTTAAAATGACTTTTTGAATGATTTTGTTCTATATTATGTTGTTTGGATATAGATTGAATTTATGAATATTTATGAAATTACTAATGTTGCTGTCTTGTTGATTGTATATTCTCTTTGGATAAATTTTTGTTTTCTTATTTTTTTTAACAGGCTAAACCGGGCTTTTATTTTTTGTAAGTAAGTCAGGCCACTGGCCGACAATTATATTTATAACAGGTAATAAGCTTAGTCAGACTGACACATTTAAACACAGGTTTAACCTTTTAAGACCAAAGTTCGACTCGACTCGACCCATTAACCCCCTAATTTTGAGGTAAGCTTACCCAATTGTTTTGCGTGCCATTTCCTTCGTCCATGGCTGTGCAAAAGATTACGCTGTCATCAATTTTATATCTTGTGAAGGGGCATCAAGGAGTAATTTTTTAATATTTGGGTACCATGATTATTGGAAATATGGTTGAAAAAAAAAGTTACCAGAAATAATACAAAAAAATGTTTAGTAGGCTAAAATATTATAAAAAAGTGTTTAGTAGACTTTATAGTAAAATGAGATGGAAAGCATCTTAATATATATGGCCTCTCCTTGCACATATTACAAATTAAAAAAAAAAACCCCATAAATATGTAGGAAAACAGATGCTGTTGTTGCCTATTAATTTAATATTGATGTGGTTTTAAATAAAATAAAAAATAACTTACCGCATTTAATAAAAAATAAAATAAAAAAAAAAGGTTACGAGGAATAATATAAAAAGTGTTTGGTAGGCTAAAATATTATAAAGAATATTTATTAATTTTACTGAATGAGTGTTTGGTTGATGTTAAAATATTACCGGAAAAATAGACAATTTTTACGAAAGTACCCTCCCTCATAAATAGATAACTTTGAAACATGTAGAAACAAAAATCATAAACCACGATGGAAAGCTGGTTACCGATTTGTGTAACAACACAAAATGGAGGCAACAAAGTGTTCGAACAAACCAGAGAGAAGTTTCCGTCGACGGGCTACCTCCACAGCAACATTGTTATTCAGAGGAAAACCATTTGTTTGAACAAAACTTATGCTAGGGCTCAAAGGGTATTTTTGTCTGCAAAATATGCAAATGGATATCCAGTGGATAGGTATAAAAAATTGCCATGTCCAATTAGGTATTTTTTTTGGCATGTCTGTAGTGTTAAATGAAAATCTGGTCTCAAAATATTTCAAGGCAAAATTTATGTTTTTCTTGTACCAAATATGAGACTAAAAAATTTCCACTATCAAATTCCTGGGTATCCCTTTAATTATCATGTACCAAACATCTCCTTAAGATTTTTCTTAAATATTTAACTAGAGGGTGATTATACTTATTATTATTTTAGATTTATTATTATTGGTTCAATTTGAAATCAGCGATTTCAAATAGAAAAAATTAATTGTTGTTGATTTCGAATTAATCTAACGGTAAGAGTAATATAGGTTAAAATGATAGTAAATATAACATTTTCCATTCAACTAAACATAAATTATTTTTCAGTTTTTACTACATTAAGTTTTTTTAAAATATTTATTCTTTAAATAATTGAAGAATGTAAGAGAATATGCATAAAAAAGGAAGAAGAATGTAAGAATTTATTAAAAGATATAAGATAGTTCCTTTAATAAAAATGACCACCTTATGCAATCGCTATTATTATAACAATAATTAGTTTTAAGTTGAATTTCAAGTAAGTATCAATTTAAACTCCCGAAACTATTTTCATCATATCCAGCACTCAAACTTGATTCTTATTAAGAAAAACAAACTCTCTATTACTAATTAAAGTAATATTTATTGATTTTATTTTAATTTCCTTTCACTGCCATTAGCGTAAAGCAGAAAAATTATTGCCGTGAAGAAAAGTTTTCCGAAAAAAAGTGTGAAAGTGCTGTTGGTGTTGAGAAAAATCTCGACTAAATATGCAACATGCTGATCGTTGTTACTTTGGCGGCGCAAGAGTTTTATGTCTACAAAATCATATTTTTTAACTCCAAAGATATGTATAGATATAGTTCTTATGCTTTTTCTTTACGGTATACTCACGGAGAAATATGTACATTTTTTTTTCAAAATGATAGACCCCACTTAAATTTGTGTACTTAGAAAATGAATCTTATCAGTAGTAATATGAGAAAAGTTAACCCCATAGATATATAATTATGTAATTTTATTGGAGATTGTTTCTGTTACATATTTTATGTCTATTTTGAATTTTGAATTTAATTTAGAGCAGATATGATTTGTTAATGACATTTTGATTTAGAATTTAGGAAAAACTTTAAAAACTCCCTCGAAAGTTTTGGCAGAATCACTTATCCCTTTCCGAAATTTTTAATCATTTACACTCCTACTTAAATTTTTTTTATCACTTACCCCCATAACTTGATTTTCCATCCAAAATTAAAGTTAACAGAGTTAACTTTTTTAAAAACTACCTAAACTATCCTTAAAAGAAAAAAAAGAAAAATTAACCCTTGAATAAGAAAAAAAAAATCACATTCTTGCACGGCTCTATAAATAAGCAAATGAATATATGGATCATCTTTTTGGAATAGCAAACAAGAAAGGGAATTGAAATATTTAATCAATGAAGTATTTAATCTTAAGATTCCTCCTATATGCAGTAAACACCAAATAATGGGGTCATGTAAATTGAAATCTTGCAATTCTGTTTACTTTTCTGCAATGAAAGTGAATATTTTCTCAGTCTAAAGACCAGAAACACACAACTTGCAAAGGGCTTCAAAGCTTCTTGTGATCGGCATCTCAACTATGCGGTCAAGGTGGTCAGGCTCGCAGTGGTGCGGTTCCACTCCTCAATGACTATCTCTTGCCAGCAGTAAGGTTCAGTTAATGCAGAGATTAATTTATTTTTTTTTAAGGATAGTTTTGATATCTTTTTTAAAAATTAACTCTGTTAGCTTTAATTTTGTATGGAAAATCAAGTTAGGGGGTAAGTGATAAAAAAAATTTAAGTACGGGTGTAAATGATTAAAATTTTTGGGGAGGGGTAAGTGATTCTGACGAAACTTTCAGGGGTTTTTTTTTTAAGTTTTCTCTAGAATTTAATGTAATTTAGAGCAAATAAGATTTACACATATTTATGTCTATTTAGAATTTTAAATTTTAAATTTATTGTAATAGGAGCTGATTGTGTTTTATTAGGAGTTATAATTTTATGAGTTAATTACATGTTGTGGTCCATTCAATTTGTGAGTTAGTTACAGAATTAATTACATGTTGTCGCAAATTTAAATTTGTGAATTGTTTATATATTGTCGTCAATTTGAATTGATTTGTAATTTGTAACTCAGGAGCTTATTTACTGGCAACATTTCAATAAAATAAGTAAGAGGGTAGATACTAATTTTTATTTAATTTTTAAAACACTTTTAATAATATTTTTAATTTTATTATAATACAATGATAAAAAAAAAATTCCAGCCATGTGATAAAGTCTAAAATCAAAAAAGGTTGGCACATGATTCATGTGATAAGGTTTTGTCAAGTAGTAATTTACAGAGGCTCATGTTTGTAACATAGTGACATATGTTTTGGTTAGGGTTGGCAAAAATGAGTCAACCTGTCGGGTTGGCTCGTACTTGTTAAAAATGAGTTGGGTTGGGTTGACAAAAATGAGCTGTCAACTCGAGCCAACCTGACTCGTTTTAACCCGTGAAAAAACGAGCCAACCCGCGGGTCAAACGAGCCAGCTCGCGAGTTGAGTTTTTTTTTTTAATAAAAAATATAAAATTTAATATAGAACAAAACTCACACATGTTGTCATCATTTTTCTTTCTTATCTAAATCTAAGTCCCTAATCTTCTCACATCCCTGCTATTTTTATATTGTTAGGCTGTGCTGGCTCTGTTTGGTTCAAATATCTTACCCACTTGGTAGCAAGTGGTTCTGATTGTTTCTGGATGTTGATGCAAATTTGTTGTGAAGAAAATTCGAAACTAAAATATTTTGCTTTTATTTCTCATTTGGTAACCCTTTTTTAAGCTAATGGAGCTGGTGCATTAATACTGCATGGTCATTTAAATAGGCTGAAAAGAAGCCAATCCGCGAGCCAATTTTCGAGCCAACCCGCAAACCTATTTTCGAGCCAACTCGCGAGCTATTTTTTCAAGTCAACTCACGAGCCATATTTTTGAGCCAACCCTAGCCCGACTCGGGTCGGGTTAGGTTGAGTTTTCTTGCTCGTTTTTTTTTTCGAACCAACCCTAACCCTACTCATTTTTTTCGGGTTAAATGCGAGTCGGGCCGAGTTGGCCCGTTTTGCCAACCCTAGTTTTGGTTACACTATCATTCCCAATAAATTCCATTTTTTCGTCTAACACAAATTTATTTATTTTTAGAAAAATGTTTTAAAATACATACTTAAATTAGCGTGCTCAGTACACAAATCTCTAGATTTATACTATTACATCACAATCACATGTTTCCGCGTTATATCATTTACTTCTTTTTTGGGCCGCCATTAGTTTCACTTTCGTGAAGGATCCATCCATTGCCACGTGTCGAAATCTGGAGGCACGGGAGGCTTAGAACTTGCTCGAGGTTTAACACCCGACACGGTATAAAAGCCACCTTGTTTGCGCTCTTTCCACATCGATCTCACTTCAAAAAATATCAGAAATCAGTTTTCGTTATCGCTGAGCTGAGTCCGTTATTTGTTGTTCCATCTTTTTCAGAAGGAGCATTCCCTTCTGTGACGGTAAGTACTAGGTGGTTGAAATTGCTCTTATAGCAAAGTGTGTTAAAATATTTAATATTAGTATTATTATTTTTATTTTTATTTTCATTACTATAGTTTTGTGATACAGTGGTTAAGTGTTGGAAAATGACGGTGACACCTAAGATCTCTGTTGAGGATGGAAACCTTGTTGTCCATGGCAAGACCATATTGACTGGTGTTCCCGACAACATTGTGCTGAGTCCAGGATGTGGAAATGAACTTGGGAGTGGTGCTTTCGTTGGTGCTACAGCTTCCCACAGCAAAAGTCTCCATGTGTTTTCCATGGGTGTCTTGGAGTATGTTCTTATAGCTTTCACTACTTCACAATCACATGCACTGTTCTTATCTATTATGTTCTGTTGTTAATACAAACTTATGAAACTCTTTTAATTTATAATCCTAATTTTTTTTAGCAGGCAAAAGTAATTCTGCTTTTGTGGTAGAAAAACTTTACATCTTTACCAGATTGGACGTCAGGCTTCACAAAAAAAATGGAACCTTTTTTTTACTGCTTGTAATGATTGAGTGCTTGGATGATTTGATTTATAAAGTTCTTTTTCAGAAAGTTTGTATACTTTTGGGGTTGGTGTTACACGTGTTATCTTCTAATTGAAATTCAATTCTCTGCTTTCTCTTGCATCTAGATTCAGACTCTAAAAGTGATAACTTTAAATGAAAATCTGTTTCACTTGGCTGCAGTAAATTAAACTGGGTAGCAACTTAGTGTTGATTTGTAACCATTGGCATGTGACTAAGTTAAAAGAATAATTTTTTTTGTGAAATTTAGTTGGACTATTCGTTTGATCTTGATGAATTAGTGTGCATCTAGTTTACTAGTTTTTATTATAAACAGGGGGCTCCGGTTCTTGTGTTGTTTCCGTTTCAAGTTATGGTGGATGACTCAGAGAATGGGAACTTGTGGAAGGGATGTCCCTCTGGAGACCCAATTCATGCTTCTAGAGAGTAAAGACAGCGAAGGAGATGAGGAAAATTCTCCAATAATCTACACGGTCTTGCTTCCTCTCCTGGAAGGTCAATTCCGAGCTGTACTACAAGGCAATGATAAAAACGAGATAGAGATTTGCCTAGAGAGTGGTGAGTAACTCTTGGCCGTGCAAAATGGTTTGGTGAAGGCTACTTGCAACTCTGCCAATATGTCATAATTTAGTGCTATGTCTGCGGTTAATTCAGTTCCATCCTGTCAGCCAATTTTTGAAGGTCTTACCCTGTGAAATTATGGGGTGGAGTTGTCATTAATGCGTATAGAATTGGGGCTGGATAAACCTCTCAGTGACTATCAATCATTTGAATCAACCAAATGGAGTTTTATAGCTTTGGAGAAAATATATATATAGAGTGGAGTCCCAAAGAACCGAAACGACTCTTTTCCTTTTGGTATGTGGTTTGGTTTTGCAGGAGATAGTGCTGTTGAGACTAAACAAGGTCTTCACCTGGTCTACATGCATGCTGGGACAAACCCCTTTGAAGTCATCAACCAAGCTGTCAAGTAAGGCATTTTTCCTCCCTTAGTCTGTGTTTTGTTCGTCCCTATGATCTTGTATCAGTGTACCCATTGTCCTTCTTAACAGATAAGAAACACATATTACCTGGCCTTATTTTCATTTTTTAGAATTTATTTTCCCTTTGGTGAAATATAGGATTTAGTTTTACTGATTCTTTTTTCTGCTTTTCTTTCAAGGGCTGTGGAAGAACACATGCAAACTTTTCATCATCGTGAGAAGAAAAGAGTAAGACCCTCATCTTTTGCAGTATTACTAATGGTTGTACAAATATGTCAAGTTAATATGTAGGAACTTTAACCTGGTTTTGTTGGTTTTATGCAGTTGCCATCTTTTCTTAACTGGTTTGGCTGGTGTACATGGGATGCTTTCTATACTGATGTCACAGCTGAAGGTGTTGAGGAAGGCCTGAAAAGGTAATTATTGATAGTAATTGTACAGTGTGTTTGTTTCTGATGATTGAAGAAGAGATGAATTTGGAAAACTATGTTTAAGGATTAACTAGATAGTGAAATTTGTTCAATATAACTGCAGTCTATCAGAGGGAGGTACTCCTCCACGGTTTCTCATCATAGATGATGGTTGGCAACAGATTGAATGTAAACCAAAGGATGCAGATTGTGTTGTACAAGAAGGAGCACAGTAAGATCTCTATGTTTTTATAATAAGTAACAGTTTGCCATTTTCAATTCAGTAACTACCTCGCAATTAAGCATTCTAATATCCATATTCAAAAGAATACTATTTCATTATAATTAGTCTGATAAAAGCACTTGTAATTGACATCTTGGAAATTGTGGTGAATGTTGATTGCAGGTTTGCTACTAGGTTGACTGGTATTAAGGAGAATACTAAATTTCAAAAGAATGGTCAGAGCAATGAACAGATATCAGGTCTGAAGCATCTTGTAGATGGAGCAAAGCAACGTCACAATGTGAAGTATGGTCTTAGATCCTTAAATTCTTTCAATAAATTTTGATGTGGTGCAGTTTCTTTTCTTCATGAGGGCTTTTGTATATATGGATTTATGTGAGAGCCATTGTTTGAGAAGTGTCTCACCTAATTAAGTTTCTGAATTCTTCATTGGTTACTCTGATGATGCACAGAAATATTTATGTATGGCATGCACTAGCTGGTTATTGGGGTGGAGTGAAGCCAGCAGCAAGTGGCATGGAACATTATGACAGTGCGTTGGCATACCCAGTGCAGTCACCCGGTGTACTGGGAAACCAACCAGACCTTGTCATGGACAGCTTGGCTGTACATGGTCTTGGTCTAGTGCATCCAAAGAAGGTTTTTGATTTCTACAATGAGCTCCATGCTTACTTAGCTTCATGTGGAGTAGATGGTGTGAAGGTTGATGTGCAGAACATTATTGAGACCCTTGGTTCTGGACATGGTGGCAGAGTCTCACTTACACGCAGCTATCATCATGCACTTGAGGCTTCCATTGCGCGTAACTTTCCCGATAATGGATGCATTGCTTGTATGTGTCACAACACTGATGGGCTTTATAGTGCTAAGCAGACTGCTGTTGTGAGAGCCTCTGATGATTTTTACCCACGTGATCCTGCTTCACACACAATCCATGTTTCATCTGTTGCTTACAACTCACTATTCCTTGGAGAATTTATGCAGCCTGACTGGGACATGTTCCATGTAAGTGGAAGTGAATTGCTAATCTATTTGTAATTTAGTTCATGCTTGCTTTTTCCTTTGGAAATTTTCAAAAGCTATGACTTTCTTCGTGTTAACAAAAATATCTTTTTGTAATTTCAGAGTTTACATCCAGCTGCAGAGTATCATGCTGCAGCTCGTGCAATTGGTGGATGTCCAATTTATGTTAGGTATAGTGATGTCTATAGCAAACTTTTCTTATACACACACATGAAAATGGATGCAATTGTAATGGGTATTTTTGTATTTATGATGATTTTATAGTGACAAGCCAGGCAACCACAATTTTGATCTTCTTAAGAAGCTGGTTCTCCCTGATGGTTCAGTTCTTGGTGCTCAGTTACCTGGCAGGCCTACCCGTGATTGTCTCTTTGCTGATCCAGCAAGAGATGGGACTAGGTCTGTTTACTTAACCCTTATATCTGTTTTCTTTTAAAGCTACATTCGTTGGACATAAATTGATAACTCATTTTACTTAAAATGCAATTCTCAGCTTGCTCAAAATATGGAACTTGAACAAATGCTCTGGAGTTGTTGGTGTATTTAACTGCCAAGGTGCTGGATGGTGCAAGATAGAGAAGAAAACCCGCATTCATGATGCTTCTCCTGGTACACTCACTGGCTCTGTCTGTGCCTCTGATGTTGACCTCATCACCCAAGTTGCTGGTACTGAATGGCTTGGCGAGACTATTGTTTATGCATACAAATCAGGTACTATTAATTTTATTTTTGGTAATCAGTTACTATTATTACTAAGAGGATGTGTAAAAGAAGGTGAATTCATTTCTGACTTTCTGGAAGTTAAAATCAATATGCGTGTAGGTTATACTACTTTCTATTGAAGTTGATTTTAGTACATGAGAGTCTGGCAAAGTAATGCCCCTCCTCCATATTTCAGGTCAGGTGATTCGGCTACCAAAAGGGGTTGCGGTTCCAGTGACACTAAAAGTTCTGGAGTTTGAACTTTTCCATTTCTGTCCAATCTATGTAAGGCTCCACTATCTGCTAATATGATATTTCATTTGTTTTTGGATCACTACCTTTGGTCTTCTATACTCACTGATCAAATGTTTATTGTAACAGGAAATAGCACGAAGTATTTCATTTGCAGCAATAGGGCTATTAGATATGTTTAATGCTGGAGGAGCTGTGGAGCAGGTAGAAATCCATAGAGCCTCTGACAACAAAGTAGAAACATTTGATGGTGAGGTGTTATCGGAACTGGCCACTCCTCTCAGTTCTAACCGAGCAGCAACTGCAACTATTGCTCTGAGAGTCAGGGGAAGGGGCAGATTTGGGGTTTACTCCTCCCAGCCCCCACTGAAGTGTGTGGTTGGTGGCACTCAAACCGACTTCAACTATGACTCGGAGACTGGGTTGACAACCTTCTCCATTCCTGTTCCTCCAGAGGAGATGTACAGATGGTCTGTAGAAATCCAAGTTTGAGTCATTAGAGAGGGGTTTTGTTGTTCTTAACGTTATCATTAAGAGAGATTTTGGTCTAATAACTAGACATCTATAAGTAGCATGGGGTTGGGAAAGTGGAATATTTTAATGCATGTAGCTGAGAGTAAAGGGTCATTAGTGGGGGAGAGGAATGATCTTTACCCGGGGATGTTACATGTTTTGCTTCTTTTGAATAAAAAGTTCACATCTGTTTGAACAATTTCTGAATTTATAGCATTTGTTGAACTTGGATAATAATAAAGAAAAAATGAAGGGTTATATGATTGTTTGGATCTGTTTGTAATGTGGTTGAAAACTTTATTGAGCCAGTTAATGTCTGCTGGGGGAGCAAGTAATATACAAAGCCAATGCACAGATATGTTACCATTCTAATGCAACTCTTGGTTCCAGCCAAGATGATGTATCATGTCATGTGGCTATTTCGTTGATGGAGTCCCCTTTATGGTGACCGTGCCAAGTTAGCCTTGTGGAACTGCAAGCTCTTGTTTTACTTGATGAGATTGAAAGCTGTCAGGACTTCAGTTTAAATTGTAATTGAAAATTAGGAAAAATGTAAAATAATGGAGCTTGATGAGAACATAGGGACTAGTCTGGAGAGACTATTACGGGAAGGTGCATGACTCCAAATCAAATTACATATTCAAAACAACTGATAGTTTTGTCAATAGCTGAACAGAATATTGCTTTTTAGTTGGTATAGCTAGAATGGGCTTATGCCTTTGTTAAACATGAAATGGATATCAAGAAGTAAAAGTTTTGCAACTGCTAGGCTTAAAAAAAAAAAAAACTGGACTTAGAGAAATGCTAGAAATATATTTTGATATGTTTTAAGAAATATATTATTCTACCTATCATTTTTTTTTGTTTATCTTTGCTTATCACCCTCTAACACCGTTAGATCAGAATCTCAAAAGAATTTAACTTTGATACACTTATTGTAAAAAATAATTTAAACTATTATTCTTTGTTGTCTCTGCTGTATGATTTAATAAATTTGATATCTTATATGTATTTGTCAAAGTAAAAGGGAAAAAAGTTTTCGATGTTACTTTAGATAACTTTATCTAATGTTCACCGAAACGACGCCGTTTTGGAGTTAAAAAATTAAAAAATTAGAGTGATAAAGACTATTATAACTCTGAAATAAATTAAAATTACAAAAATATCAGGATTTCCGTCCCAAAACGACGTCGATTTGATGAACATTAGATAAAGTTATCTAAAGTAACATCAGAAAAAACAAACCCATAATTAAACTCGTTAAAAAAGATAGGTCAATGTAAGATTAGATGATGGCATGAGATTTTTTTTTACATTAATAATGTATCAAAATTAAAGGTATTTGACGATTAATTCATCAACTGATCTATTTACATTAAAAGATATTATATAAGTGTTAAACTAATTAACATTAATTAGATTTTGTTAAAACATATTACTTAATATGAATATATATTACCTTAAAATGCTAATAAAAATTAGACATGATAATTAGACGAGCAACAACGACGGGACAAATAGAACCCAAACCTGCAGTGCCTCATTTAGCATTTGGCAACACCATTCTCTTCCCACGTTGGACCGAGTTTTAAGTGCCTGTTTAGATCCTCTTATTTTTAAGTTAGAAGCTACTAATAAGCATAAGCTAGGCCAACCAGGTTTTGGGAAAAGCTCTTATTACGAAAAGTTCTTTTTTTATAATGAAGAAAAAAGCTGAAAACTAAGAGCCTGTTTGAATGCTCTTATTTTTAAGCTAGAAGCTATTTATAAGCTTAAGCTAAAGCTAAAAAAAAGAGCTTAAAAAAAGAAGCTAGAAGCTGTTTGAAAATTACATAAAAAACTTAGCTTAAAATTTACTTAAAAGCACATATTTCAAGAAAATTATCTCTCTTTCCATCTTTATCACTCTTCATTTTAAAAAAAGCACACAATTCAAGAAAAACAAATAAGAGCTTAAAAAAAAGCTCCTCCTAGGAGCTTTTAGTTTTCAGCTTTTTTCTTCATTATAAAAAGAAAAGTTTTTCATTATAAGAACTTTTCTCAAAACCTGTTTGGCCTAGCTTATGCTTATAAGTAGCTTCTAGATTAAATAAGAGAGGATCCAAACATGCACTAAAAGCTCCTAGGAGGAGCTTTTTTTTAAGCTCTTAACTGTTTTTCTTGAATTGTGTGTTTTTTTTTAAAATGAAGAGTGATAAAGATAGAGAGAGATAATTGTCTTGAAATATGTGCTTTTAAGTAATTTTTAAGCTAAAATTTTTATGTAATTTCCAAACAGCTTTTAGCATCTTTTTTAAGCTTTAGCTTATAATCAATCACATATGTAGGGTGGGATGGGTAGAATACTCCACCTTTACAAAATTTACCAGAGTTCTTGTAGTTCACGTTAACAAAATTAACTGCAATAATCATAACTATAATTTTTGACCTCATCACATTTCTTGGAGAGTAGTATTATTGAAAATATTTTTTTCATACCAACCATAATTATCTCTTTTAAGAGAAGTAGGCTCTCCCAAATATCTTCATAAGTTTCGGCTTTTTGAGCCTATTATGTGACTAATTCTGAATACGAGACAGGTTTGAGATTAAGATTTTATGCCTCTTCTCATATGACATTGGTGAAAATCAAGTCGAAGTTCTTCCCCCTTTACTCAATTCTCTTGCACTGATTAAACTACCATCATTGGATAATATTGAAAGTCTTAAATCCAACTAAATTATCTTTTTCGTATCAAATGATATTTACCTCGAGAGACAAAACCCTAAAATAAAGAGATATGGAACCCAGACATAGTTGGTATACATCCCAGAATTACTGCAAGTCAAGCACGCTTAACTATGGAGTTCCTTCGTTTCGGGCTACCGAAAAATAGATGCATCTTGTTAGTATAGGTAGTACCAATTAATTCTTATATGTTATCCCCAATTGTGCAGTCTTATACCTGCACAGTCTTCATCAACGTTCGAGTTGTTGCATTCCCACCAGCTTCCGCCTGGTTCGTCCTCGAACCCCACCGTACTGAAAGAGAGGCCTGCTCTGATACCACTTGTAACGCCCGGCCGCTTCAAGAATCAATGATTATCTTCACATACTAACACGAGACTTTTTAGTGTGTTTTTTTCTCACTAGCTCACTTCATGGAAAACTTTTCAGGAGGTCACTCATCCCAAAATTATTGCGCTACCGAAAAGTAGATCCATCTTGTTAATATAGGTAGTACCAATTAATTCTTATAAGCTCTCCCCAATTGTGTAGTCTCATACCTGCACAGTCTTTGGAATCTCTTTTTCGGGTCGGGTCGGCTCGATTCATTCATGTAACTCCTCGCTGGAAGCCTGTCAGGAGCTGTTCTTTGTCCATGTCCTTTCGCACTGGCGATTACTCCCTGCCTTCATCAGCGCTCGGGATGTTACACTAGAGATATACCTTTGCACTCAAAGTCTCGCTTGTGGGATTAGTCTTATCCCTTCTCCGTCCAAAGCACTTGTTGTATCAATGAGAAGCTAACCTTAAGGGCCGTAAGGACAAAGTGAACGAAGGGAGTTGAATGAGAATACCTTATGATAAAAGTACCAATAAATAAAATAAAATAGAGATATGGGACAAACACTATTATACAAATAATGCTCTTTCTTTTCAATTTTTTCCTCAATAAACAAAGTAAAATAAACAAAAGCCGCTGAAAAACTAAACAAATGCATGAAGACATAGTATGAGTCATGATGATGTCAGCCGAAATAGCAGGAAAACAACCACAAAAAATAAAAATAAAAATAAAATCACATATTATTTTTCGGAAAAACTTAAATATTTTTATCATGATCCGCTGCTCCCTCTAAATTAGTCTCATAATTATCAAAGAGTCAAAGCTTGTGAGAATAGAGTTAACTCATCTAAAAAAAGTAATTAACGTTGAATTAACTAAAAAATAAATACAAAACAAAACAAAATAAAAAAAACCCGGCCAAAGGACACTTCATGAAGCAGTGAAAGGCAATCCCAATTGAATGGGTGACATGGAAAGTGATTGTGAAGTCATGAAATCTTTCGATTACTCAATTTGCTATAATTGACCTCGTTGGAAGATTGGGTTACTACAATTTCACATATTGCTCAGTTAACTTTTCATCATTTAATTTTTAAGTAACGTCAAATAAGGGTAAGTTTGATTGAAAAGAACCATTAATTACCTTTTAAGAAAATTCAATTTGAGTTTCATTTTAACATATTGCTGGTGTAAAAAAAAAAAATTGCGCACTAGTATTCAATGATGTATTTCATTTAAATAATTTACCAGCTCATTTATTATTAAACAACTATCAATACCAAATCGTGAATATTATGAATTTTTTATTATTCAATGATGGTCTTGGTTGGTTGATCCGAGACTGTTTCGAAATATATCAGTATCGATCGGTTAGTTTTTGTGATCTGTCTTTTGCTTTTTTTGTTGTTGTTGTTGATATTATGAATTTTACTCCTACCTATTATGTTTCTAGGTCTCCGGATATTCCAAAGTTGAAGTCTACTATTTTTTCCAATTATATTGTTATTCCACTCAACGTGGATAAATTAGATAGGTTGAACTATGATTATTGGTTGTTAGATGAACAAAAATCAATTGGCTCGTCAGAACAATAATCAATTTCAACTTTCTTACCATTAGGATAATCAATTGCTAGTCGTATTAATGGTTGGTAATAGGCTAAGTAAAGTGTATATAATTCAATCAGGTCGGTTTAGGGGGAAGACCGTGGCGGAGAACCACCACCAATGTATTAAGCTACATCATCTGTAGCAAGTGGATCCAACACCGTGTCTCAATCCAAAACCTTAAGGCATTGGGTTCATGGGTCTCCCTACTTATATATTCCTCACTTAATCCATTATCAAGCAATGTGAGACTCGTCACACTTGAATATCCTAACAATCTTCTCTTTAAGTGTGAATCCCACCATTGGTATGCTCCCCCTCAACCGAGTACCCAGACCCAAAGTACTCAACTCATCTCTTAGCTAAACACCTGGCTAGCTCGAGCTTAACCCGACTTTGATACCACTGTCAGGCGGCTCCAGGAGGAGCCCATGGTGGGTGATCACTACCAATAGACTAAGCTAACCAACCGTACCAAGGTGGATCCGATACCACATCTCAACTAAAAACCTTAAGGCATTATGTTCATGTGTCCATCTACTTATATCTTTTTCACTTAATCCATTATCAACTTATGTGAGACTCATCACACTTTAATATCCAAAATCTATTATGTTGCCAAATATATGGTAATTAAGGTGGAAATATATCAAATGATCCTTCTATCTTTTGCTTCATTCCATGATGTTTTCTAACAATCCAAAAATTTTCATGATTACCATCTCATGCGTTATCTCCAATTCTCCATAACCACATTACCACAACCATGGGATTCTACACAACTAGTATAGACGCTGATGCCACGCGGCACCAACGAAATCCCTCCAAGTGACCATATTACGTGGGCCGCTATTGTCCAAATAGAGTTATATACGCTTCATAGGATTGATTGCTTGCTCTACTATACCTTTGCTGAACCATACCAAATATGTACAGTTATTAAGATGGTTTTGTTATTGTTGAGATATATAGTCTCACATTAGTTGTATGAGCAACTAATGTGGAGTTTATAAGGTCTTGGACACTTTCACTCTTTGAGCTAGCTTTTGGGGTGGTGTATCCTAAGGTTCTTTACATAGTATCAGAGTCTCGTTGCCCCCTACTTTCTCTTGTGGCGTTTCTTAACACAGGTAGGCTGGGCCTGTTGCATTGTCCACTCTTCAAGTCCAATGAACTCTCGTGTGAGGGAGCGTGTTGAGATATATAGTTCCACATTAATTGTATGAGTCACCTTTATAAGGCCTTGGGCACTCCTAACATTTGAGCTAGCTTTTGGGTAGTGTATCTCAAGGTTAACTCCCAACCTTTGATCTAGCTTTTGGGGTGGTGTATCCCAAAGTTCTTTACAGTGATAATGAAAATTAACAATTTGTACATACTTTTGTCCTAGAGGAGAGATGAAGGCACTGTTTGAATCCTGTTTCTAAAATGAATTTTTTGATTTTCAGAAAAAAAAAATCATTTGATTAGGTTATTTTGTAAAAAAAAAATTAAAAATTGTAATTTTTTTCTTTAAATTAAATTTTAAAAACATGTTTGAGTTGGTTTTATTTTATATTTCGGCTTTTAACTTTAAAAAGAAACACTTATTTCCATAGCCTAAAAAAAAACTACTCTCCGTCGACTAGCTAGTATGAGGTAGAAGTAATCCTTGTACGCAGCTCTATCCTTACATAATTACAAAGAAATTATTTTCTGGATTCGAACCCATAACATTTTCATAGTTATTATACAAAAAAATAATAATACAGAAAATATTTATTTTCATAACTATTGTACAAAATAATTTTAAGAAAAAAAAAGCATAATACAGTCAATCAGACCCGAAATTTCGAGAGCGATTTTGAGTTCTAACATTTCATCATGGCAATAATATGGTGACAAAAGTTTAGGACAAGAAGTTATGCAAAGTTTCAAAGTGACAAAATGAAATGTCTTCTACTCCAAAGCCATCCCTCCACCCATCTTCTCATGCATTTTACGATAGCTAAAGCTATTTCGCGATAATGCTAACAAATATACAACTGTACACGTTAAAAACAGTTTGATAACACCAAAAAAAAAAGAGTTCAGTCTTTTTGTTCCAAACTCTCATAATTCTTATCAGTGATCACCTGAAAAGATACAATGAATCAAATGTTAACGTTAATTCATGTTACGGGTACTCGTATGCAATGATATCATTGGTGTGTGATGCCTCTATAAAAATAAAGCAAAAAAGATCCAATCTCATGTAACTGCTAACCGTTTTAAAACCCAAAATGATTATCCTGAGGAAAAAGGTTGGAATATTTAAAAATTTCAATGAGTACTCATCATGTTTTCTTTTCTTAATACGCAATGTATGATGTGGGCTCATATGTCAATATGTGCAAGTCTCTTAGGCATAATGAATAATATGATTTCTGTTAAGTACAAAAAAGTCGCTGTTTAGCCACATTCATAAATGTGGCTAAATCACATAAAAAATGTGGCATACAGAAGCTACCATACCACACTTTTTGTAAATGTGGCTAATCATGGCGTAGCAATATTTTAACCACATTGTTTGTTTTAGTTAGCCACGTTCTGATTCAGCGTGGTAGCATATATTTAGCTACAATTAAAGTTAAATCTGACACGGTTCAAACGTGGCTAAAATAATTAAAAAAATTAAAAAAAAAAATAGCCACACTATATTGTGGCTACTTTTTTATTTGCTGAAATTTATCGAAAACAACATTTATTGCAACATTCAACACATAGACAATATTGCTTGCTAACAAGACAAATACATTTAATCATGTCATATCACTAAAAAAATGGATGAAACTCCATACATATTCGGCAATCACAAATAAAGAAAGAAAAAATAAATAAAGGAAACTAATAATTTTGCTACGTGTCTATTACATATCAGATTTGGGGATATTTATAAATGTGGTTAAATGAATGTGCTTAAATGACGTTTTTCTTGTAGTGAGTCTTTAATATGCCATGCGTGCTAAATAATATTGAATATGATCAAGGATATGACAAATTTCATTAAATTGCAAAGGATTAAGGAGTTTTTCGTGTTTGATACGACCCTGATTATAATTGTATCGGTTACATGGTAAAAATGTTAAGATGGAGCAAGGATTGAATCACGAGAGCTAGAGAAAAGCTCTGTTATTAAATTGAGGAGTTGAAGAAAGGATTAAAGCTTCACCAAGGAGATCAACTATCAAGTTCTTTTTATGGATTTCATTAGTTTTCTTCTTCTATTGTTTTAGTTTCTTTTGCCATAAACCCTCTTGTAGTTAGGACTAGATGGAACCAATTGAATCTTGATTTGATTTACTCTTTCCTATCAATATAATATCCATCTTTTCATGTTGTGCAATTATTCTGATTTTTATACCTAATTATTTTGCGATTTGGCTAATCATGGAGAAACGGTTAAGTTTTGCATGACAATGAGGATGTTGATGTGAAATTCTGATTTGAATAATTGCTAGGTTTTGTTTAATCTAGGAATAGACTAATAAAACCTATGATTGTGTTGATTCATCATTCTTAATGCTTGCCATAAACAGAATTACTAAAAAATTAGGATTCTTAATAGGTCAAAGAATGAAATACCAATTAATTGAGTTTTGATTGATTTGTGACGAGTTGTTCATTAACATGAGTTTGAATATTATTTGAGGGAGAGAGTAGGCTGATTAGGAGAAAATTGAAAAAATCGAAACCCTAGATGCTCATTCCATTAGTGAACCTTATTTCAATTTTAATTTGAGTCCTTTGCTTACTCTTAATTGCTATTTGGTAGTTGTTACATCTGCTTTATTATTTTAATCAAATTTATAAAAATTATTCTGATTGATTCAACTTTGGTAGAGTAGTGAAAATAGTGCTTGGTAGATCAATTCTTGTGAAAATAATACTTTTCTCATTATTTTATTATTTATAGAACTGGTATACTTGCCAAAATCGTAACAAATTCCTTAATTCATGAGTAATTATGTATCCCAATATGGAGTGTAGGGCAACAATAGAAGTTAAATTCTCACTAAGATGAACGACATGGAGCCAATGGAAGGGAGGAACAGTTCTTGTTGCATAATATACCAAATTGTGATGGAAATTAAGAAAACTAATATTTTTTTAGTAAAAGTCATTTGATTTTTTATATATATAATAAGGTATCAAAAAGTTATTTCAGTATAACTTAAATTTAAGACTTTTATCCAAATCTACGTATTTTCAGCTTGAGCCTTAGAAGTTATGAATTTATTGAAATTTCATACAAAGCTTAAGGTTGCATATATGTTTTTATTTTTTTGAAGATTATATAGAATGCACTATATTTCCCATAGCATTATTACAGCTAACAAGCAAAAAGGCAGGAAAATAATCATCTTGCTTTTCCATTTTGATACCCTTCAATTAACACGTGATGATTACAATTAATAGAAAAGGCTTTAAATTTGCATGGACTCCTCCTAAAATTTAGTACCCAAAACCTATTATTTACTGGATTTTGATTCTTTCATGTGAAAAAGTTATTTAATCACAACCACTTATTGATGATAAGACAATAGAGAGAAAAATGCATGATTTTTAAATGAGAAGTTATGATCAAATAACATGACCACTTTTCTACGTTAGAAGATCCAAATCCATTACTCAGTAGATTGTTTCCTTTTCTAACTGAAAACTCATAAAAGAGAGAGAGAGACATGTGATTACATCTAAATATATTTGCATATATATCATTATAAAAGCATAAGTTTAAGGGTAAAGTGTGTGTCATTTTGAAGGATGTAAAGTTGTGTCATTTTAAGAGAGAGAACGAGATAGATAAAGGAGGAGAGAGAGTTGACAAAAAAAATAAAGGTGTGGGTCCCACCTCTTTGTGAGAGTGAAAGGATATAAGTTGTGTCATTTAAAAGGATAAACACTCTTCCCTAAGTTTAATTATGTTCATACATAAGTGAGAAATTCGTGAAAGTTTGGTTACAATCATGTATTTATGGAGCAAAAGTAAGACGGTGGTTAACCAAACGGTGGTAGTTCAGTTAGTAGTAAGAGAGTTAATTAGTGAAAGTGAAAGGACTTCAATTTGATCCTCACATGCCACTTTTAAAAGGGGTTTAAATATCTTCATCTCTGACATCGCACTCCGGATTAGTTTTATAGCCGGATCAAAAAGGAGGCAAAGTTTATGGAGATATCGAGAGGAGCCAACTTCGCTCAAAGAGATAATTAAAGTTGAGTAACTAAAAAAAAATTAGAAGGCGTCCGAAATGTTCATTTTATCTCAATCTCTCATATATATCCTTCCATACCATTATAGCCATATGTAAATGAAGATGAATTGAAGAATAAAAGCCAACATCTTTTTTTATTTTTTTGTCTATAAATACACAAGCTCCCCCTCATTAGTTCCACACCAAGCTAGCTAGTTATAACCATTCTCATCATACACAATTCCACACCAAGCTAGCTAGTTATAACCATTCTCATCATACACAATTCCACACCTTACAAAGAGCATTTATTTTCGCTTGTAATATACAAAGGGGGGAAAAAACTATAATGGCCCTCCTCAGACAATATCCGCTCCTCTCATTCTTCGTTGTCATCATATCATTTGTTGCTTGTTATAGCACCTTGCAAGAGGACCCACTTAGTAGTATATATGTTGATGTTTCACCTTCCATTGATGATGGTGGGACATTCAAGAACCTGATCGAGCAAAGCTCAGATGTTTTGCGCTTAAAGATGTTTGATGATTTGGGTAACACTTCCCCTTCCCCTAATAAAATGGTTAATGTCAAAGATTATGGAGCTAAAGGAAATGGTTTTACTGATGACACAGAGGTACATGTACATACTCACCTAGTCCAATTAAATGTTTTGTTTTTCTTCGCTGGCAACATATATTAATTGGAAATGTATTTTCTCATATTCTGAAATGGCCAGATGGCCTTGTCCAGCCCGCTCTTATAGCTGCTCGGTAAGGTGACCATCACTTAGCACGTGGAGTATATAATTTCCTTGTACATGTGTCCCCTCACACCTCCCATGTATGCATGACCTTTTAAACTTCAAGGGTCACGTGATCTCACACCTAATGGGGCTCACAAAGCTGGAAATGATATCATGTTTTGCGCACTTGGAGGGAATCTCCAACACCCTATATAAAGGGACCTTCTCTTCTTTATTTTCTCATCTTCTCTATTTGCATGCTATTGTTGTTACTCAGCTGAAATCTCTCTTCAAGCCATAGCCATATCCCAATTACACCTCTCCTTTCACCCTCAGCTAGTCTGAGGCCAGGATGGTGACTTTTCTGTCTCCTTCACCCTTATGAGAAACATATCTATACTTTCATACTCTGATCACTTCAATAAGGTCATGTGAAAGAGTGCTTTTGTTGTGGTCCCGGGGCATGATGCTCTGTAGGGGTGTTCGCGGTCTGGATTGGATCGGTTTTGGAAGCAAAACTCATCTGATCCAATCCCTTCGGTTGGATCATGTAGTCATCCATTCGGTTTAGATTTTTTTTCAAATCCGATCCAATCCAATTTTTTTCGGTTTGGATTGGATCGGTTTCGGTTTTTTGAATATCCTAAAATTAGTGTCATGATTATTGTGTAAATAACATCTTTTGTATATATTGGCTTTGTAAAAAAATAAAATTGAAATACAAAAATATCAGTAAACAATACTATAGTTGATGAGACGTGACTAAATTTTTTTTTGGGTTTAGTTGATGAGTTAATAGGTCTTGAGTTTAGAAATTTTTGGGCTATGATTGGAGAAAGGACAAGTAGGTTGAGAATAATTAATATATTGGATCGGTTTTCATCAACCCATCCGAAAACCGATCCAATCCAATTAAAATTTGCGATTTTCTTTCGGTTTGCGATTTTTCGGTTTTCGGTTTATTCGGTTATCGGTTTTTCGGTTCGGTTTTTGCGGTTTGGATCGGTTGATGAACACCCCTAATGCTATGTACCAAAAATGGAAAATCAAAAGGGATTGGGAGGGAAATATAATAAAAGAGAGGAGTATAAGAGTAATTTTTTTTACCAAAAAAGGAAAAGGAGCACAAAATTTAATATACTCCCGGAGTATATTAAAAAATCCCCATGTGAAAGGGTCTAAATCGTCGAAATATTTAAGGGATATATTTATCTTATGTTGTATAAGATAATTATCTTATGCAATAGACACAAGGTGATGGGGTCTACTATCTTTTCTATTTATTTTTATTTTTTATAAGTAGTGGACCCCACTACCTTGTTTCTATTGCATTATCTTATGCAACATAAGATAATTATTTCTCAATATTTAAATCAACGGTTATTCTTTTTCACCTTTTATTTTAATGCATTTTCCTATCACTGTTGATTTATATTGGGATGATCGAAATCCTCTCATATATTATTTGAGTGGATCCATTCTCATGTTAATTTGGTTTTTTAACAATTGAGAAAATGACATTATTTTTCCTATTGCTGTTATGTGGGCTAATTCAGGCATTCGAGAGGGCTTGGCAAGTAGCATGTTCTTCTGAGGAAGCAGTTCTTATGGTGCCTCAGGATAGTTATCTACTCAAACCAATCAGATTCTCTGGTCCTTGTAAATCTAGTATCTCAGTTCAGGTTAGTAATTACTATGAAAAGCTAGTGAATAGCTCCCCATTTTTTAGGCTTTCACCCTTCAAGCAAAGTATAATTAATATCTCAAACATAAACTATGATGATAACCCTGTGCAATTTGTGATAAAAAATTGTAAGATTTCTGGAACCCTTGAAGCATCAGATGACCCATCAGATTACAGCAAAGATGGCAAACACTGGCTTGTATTTGACAGTGTTCAGAAACTATCAGTTAATGGTGGTGGAACCATCAATGGAAACGGTAACATATGGTGGCAAAACTCATGCAAAAGGAACAAAAAGCTCGTAAGATATCAGAAAGCTAGCACAATATTTTAATCACTTCAGTGTTGCATATATAAATCATATTCAAATGATCACCAATCTTTATATGTTTTTGCTCTCTTTAATTTGCAGCCTTGCAAGGATGCCCCAACGGTATGTATAGCTCTGTAAATTATCAAGGAAATTGGACTAAAATATAAATAAATATAACATTCAAGTACTTGCCAATGCTAACCATTGTTTGTTATTTGTTTTTGCAGGCTTTGACTTTCTATAATTGTGAGAACTTGATAGTTGAGGACTTCACGATAGAAAATGCCCAACAAATCCATGTTTCATTCCAAGACTCCATGAATGTTAAAGTTTCTGGTCTCAATGTTATCTCACCAGAGGATAGTCCTAATACAGATGGGATTCATGTCACGAATACCCAAAACATTCAAATCTCAAACTGTGTTATAGGCACTGGTATTCATAATTAAGAATCCAACATTTTCAAAATAAAAAAAATTGTCAAGCATTAAAATCTTATACATGTTTTATAATATCTCAGTACCTCCTTTGTAATCAACCTTGATTTGAATTCAAATTATTTAAGGTGATGATTGTATATCAATTGTACATGGATCTAGGAATGTACTAGCCACAGACATAACCTGCGGACCCGGCCATGGTATCAGGTAATTAAAAAAGCATCTCTTTGCATATGTTGTTTTGCATTAAATCAAGGAGTTTACTAATCTCATGTTACATGAGATACTACTCTCACGTAGGTGATACAAATATGTGGGATTCACAATTTAAAAAGAAAAGAAAAAATTGGCACAAAATTCTATGGGTGTATGACATGAGATAGATATCTTATGTAACATGAGACTATCATTTCTCTCAAGATTAAATTAATGTATGTGACTTTTATTTGCAATGAATTTTCTCAGTATTGGAAGCCTAGGGTCTGGAAAATCCGAGGAATTTGTTTCAGAAATAACAGTGAATGGAGCTAAGCTTTCTGGAACTAAAAATGGTGTTAGAATTAAGACATGGCAGGTAATTTGAACTTTTTGTCACAATTGAAAAGTCAAGAGTGAGTAATGAATAAAAATAAAGTCCCATATTCTATGCCGAGTATTTGAAGATGGTAGTTGGTGATTAAACTTTTGATTTTCAGAATCAAATAATAATTCATGACAATTCTGATTTTGGCCTAACTTATTATGTAGGGAGGTTCAGGAAGCGCAAGCAACATTCAATTTCAGAACATTCAAATGGACAATGTGACCAACCCCATAATCATAGACCAGAGTTATTGTGACAAAAAAAAGAAGCCATGCAAAAAACAGGTAAATATAAACAACTCTTAGGATTATTTGGCAACAATTCACTACTGATTTTTGTTTATATATGTCTTGACAATTTGGTATGATTCTAGCAGAAATCGGCTGTACAGATCAGGAATGTTTTGTACAAGAACATAATAGGTACAAGTGCTTCTAATGTAGCTGTGAAGTTTGATTGTAGCCAGAACTTTCCATGCGAGGAGATAGTGTTACAGAACATAGACCTGCAATGTGAAGGAGCAGAAGCTGAGGCTTCATGCAACAATGTTGAATTGTCTTACATAGGACACGTTAGCCCTCGCTGCTACTCATAGAGAGAGAGAGAGAAAGACATCTACATCTACATCTACATCTATATTGAAATACTGGTGGTATGAACCATATAATGCAAGGATACGTCACATACATCATTGCATTCGTTGTATTGATACACGACCAATAGGACATTGATTTGTAGCGAATAATGTTATTCTTTAACCAATGATTGTGATCAAACGGATTTTGTCACTTGTTTTAAACTTGATTTTAATTAAAATTAATGATAGATAAATTCTAAGTGACTCATTAGAAATACAAAAATGTAAATAACTTAATTTATAAAAAGAAACTCGATCAAAGTGGAATGGGTGCTCTAAGCCTCTAATATGTAGCCTAATCTCTAGTTAACTGTCAGTACTATACCTTTATTTGTAATTCTGCAAAGGTAGGAAGGATGGAATGTATGCACATAATAGAAGTTGTTCGCTTAATCAATAGTTTCAAGTTTGAGATTGGATACACAATTATATTAAAAACTTAATAGGAAGAGTTTTGTCACTCTTGTGATCTTGGACCGGGTCAATTGATGAACCGTCGGAGAAATCTAAAAAAAATAAAATAAAAACTCCAATCCAAGTATGAAATTATAACAAGGTTTTTTTTTTTTTTTTTTATAGTTTAATTTCGATGAATATCTGTCTCATGTCTTTTTACTCTTTTACAATGCATGAAAATTAAATTCTTTCTTTAAAGTAGGTGCAATAAGTAATACCAACGGTAAGATTCCAATAGGGAGATGAAAGAAAGATTGGAAACTTTGTTTGGCTTTTCAACAGCATTAGGCAACGGCGTGAAAACCTTTTGCTTTGTACTATTGAATTGCAACTTTGTGCCATGATGTTAGTGGCATGCTCTTTAAACATACATTTCAGATTCTATGCCAAAAGTTAAGCCTAGGGCCCAACGTAATAGCCAGAAGATTTTTGGTACATAAATTAAGCCTTGTCATAATAATTGGTTCCACTAACTTACTGACTGAAAATTGAATTTCTATTTGAAAAATAATAGTCTCATCTCATGTAATGATGGAGCAGTGGAATTTTTATTTTAGACTCTTTTTAGTTTTTACCATCGCTTCAACTATTTTTCTTCTAAGATAAGCTACAAAAATAAAAATAAAAAAAATGACTTGAATGAAAGGTACTACTAAATTCCGTAAGACAAGTTTTAATATTTAATTTCGCTGGTTGAAAATTGAAAATTTATGCTATGTCATTTTCCCCTTTTTCTTTGTGTGAATCTCCTAGTAGCTATAGCATCATACATCTCTGCAAATTTTGGAACATATTTTGTTTGAAGAAGCTAAAATATGTTCTCTATGTGACAACGATGGTTAATTTAAGAAGAAACAAAGAATGACCAACAAAGTAAAATTGAAATAGAAAGTCCAATAACAGCAACTTGGTGAGTCTAACATCAATGGTTTAGGTTCTAAAACTAACACAGTGCTACTTTATACTTCAGTTAAAGCTTGTGTAGACTTTCCCCAACACTTATATCACATGGCATTCACTGTCTAGATAAAAACAAACCATTCAACAAGTTCTATGTAACTTACAATGTTTGTGTTAGAATAAAATGCATCTTAGCTCATTTTCATTTCCCTGTTGCTTCTGGCTTTGGTTCTTGAGGTGGAGGTGGAGGTGGAGGTGGTAGTCCTCCATCAATGCAACTTCTACACTTCTTTTCAACCCAACCTTCTATGTCATTCTCTCCGTTGCCTCCAAAGTGCCTTCCACCACATAACCGAGCAATCATCCCTGCAATGACACCAACTATTGTGATCACTGCTATGACCACCACCAGGGTCTCAATTGATCTATGTGATGAATAACGATTTGGTTCTGCAACCTTTGGTGGTGTCACAACAAAGGGTTGCATTTCACTCCCTGGCCTTCCATCCATGATTCTGTTGAACACAACAGTGAAGATGAATCTGAACTCTTGATTGGCCTAGTCAACACTCTTCTGCCTTTGTACTTTCACTATGCAGTCAAAATGCTGAAGGAAACATAAATAGAGGGAGTTAGAGCTTACCAGGAGAGGAAAAGTACAGAGAATAGATTAAAAAAAAGGATGAGCTATTATGGCATATGATTTAATGCAGGACAGGGAAATGGGAATGCATAAAGCTCAGTTTCTGAAATATATAGACTATAGTAAGAGTGACAATTAGGTATCATTAACTAATCTCATAAGGGAAAAATTATTATAGTTATAAAATAGGATTCCAAGGTGATCCTAAATATATGTACTTGCCTCTCTTTTTTTCTTTTGCTTTGATCCTTTTCTGTTATTATGTTGCATATCTTTTTTGTTTTGTTTACTTTATTTGACTGGTTTCCTTTTAAAATAAAAGCAGGTGTGACTTTTTAGGTGCAAAACATAGATGAAGGCCAAAAGCTTCTGACTACACATTAACTCATTAATAATATAGTTGAAACGGGACTTGTAGCTTGTCAGTGAGGTGGTGTTGGATTTCATTGCAATCTCACACTCAAAAAATATTTGATTTGTACTCCCAAGTTTGTCTTTTGTGATGTCACATGTTAATGTTCTATCTATAAGTCTGTGACCTCAAAGAACCGTGTGATTTTGTTTGTTTTTTTCCCCTTGAAATTTTCCATAGTGTTTTTTTCCTGGCTGCTACATTGTCTTTTATATGTCTATAGCAATGTGAGAGCTATGAGAAGTGTCTTCCTATATGTGTCCCTACTCCCTAATTGGCTGGTTTGTCAACTTGCAGAAAGTTTAATGGGTAGGAATCACCTGAGCACTGAAGATGAGTTAAGACTGGACCACCATTCAATGTGACTCTTCACACTGCACGTCCTGATACACCTGCCTTCTCTTGGACCATGTACTATCATAATTTGCTTTTCTAAGAAATATTTGTGGAGGTATCAATTAGGACTTCTAAGAATTTTTTATTTTTATTTTATTTTTTTAATTTCCATCGAAGAGTGTTGGTTTAGGGGCGGTCAAGTTAGATCCCAAGATTTAACATGCTCAAACCTATGATGCAAGGACACTGACTGTAACATCCCCGTCTCGAGCCGGTTCAATTAACATACATATGATAAAACAGAAAACAGCGGAAGACTTAACTTACGAAAATATGAGCTAACTTTTTCTTTTTCTAACTTAATTCTTTCTCGGCGTAAACGAAAATCGGGCAGAGTTTCCTCTATAAATCGGACAACTGGGGATTTTTCAATCCCTCACAGAAGCATTTCCTGATAAACAGTTTATACAAATATAATCAAATGCCCATCCATGGGCGCATGCATAACTTGGCTCAGTGCCACTACATCTAACAACATGCAATCCAACATGTAAACATATCTGAATACTACCTCATGATATAACGTGCCTGAATACCCAAATGTACATGCATCAAAGCGACAGACATGTACAAAACATATACAGGCCATATACACAATAAAGGATCAATATCATGATCCATCAAATGCGAAAATACTAAAATACATCAAACACTCCAAAAAGGTAGTAGCCTACAGCCACTCAAAATCCAATCTGTCAACTGCCTCAGCCACGTGTCGTGTCCCTGCCTAGTGAGGACTCACCGGGAATCTGGGCACCTGAAAATATGTCCCCAAAGAGGGGTGAGATTACAAATCTCAATAAGCTCCAGGTTTATAGAGAATTCTCCATACCCCTGGCTCACTCCTGCACGAAAGTCAGATACAGAGTATACAAATACAACATATAGCAGATATCATAACAGAACAGAGCATATATCCATATCATATCAGAGGCGTGCGCCGTCATTCCCAAGGGAGGACCCCAAGCGGAAATCAACGCACGTGTTCCCGAGGGAGGACCCCAAAGCGGAACCAGACATAACAGAGGCGTACACCATCAGTCCCGAGGGAGGACCCCAAAGCGGACGTCCGGGTACTATACAATCAATGGCCAGAGATTGTTACAGAAATCAAATTACAGAAGTCATATCAGAGCAAAACATATCATGTTATCAAATAACTCTACATGAATGCATCTATACAAAGCATCTAAATCACAGTCATACAGTCCAACCATAGTTCACTAACCATGGTGGAGCACTCAAGCAGGAAAAGACTCCTTAAACATAGAGCTTACCTCTTGAAGCTTTACCAATACGCTTACTTGTGGAACAAGTTACTTTTATCGCTTCAAGAGATTTCCGATCCTTCTCAATCCCTAGGCACACCTAGAGAATAATTTACAATGCATCAATAAAATGATGCAATACCATAATTATTTCATAAGCATACATTTTATCGCTTATTTTCCTTTCTTTGCATTTTTGCCAATCCTATGCCAATACACAAGTCTAGACCTCTTTATACTCGTTGGTGTTCTTTAATTTAATCATCCATTCCCTTACGAATTTCCAACATAAATCATAGCATTTTACTTTAAAGGACCGTGGGCCTAAAATTAGGAAATCAATATATTTTTCCATGATTTCTTTTCAAACCATTTCACTTCATGACTTATCATTTTCATACTTTGAAACACATATTTTATTAAAATAAAATATGACAACATCTTTCCCTAAACACCCTATATGTCGACTCCTTTAAGGGAATTTCCAAGGATCCTTCTCTTTTACAATACATTTTCCTCACTTAATTTAACAACTACACGTACATAAATATATAATATATACCAAGTTCCTATTTAATTTTTTTGGAATCTCAAGCTCTTTAAATCCTTCAAGGCCGAAACATCAAGGGTATGTTTCAAAGGATTTTCTTTCAAATTTAACATTCTTACTAACTCATCAAATTTCCTCTTATTCAAGCACATTAAACCTTCCCAATACATACAATAAATCTTTGTGCATCATCCCTAATTACCCTATCAAGGCCGAAATCTAGGGTATGTCACCATGGGATTTTTTTCCAATTTTTATACATGTTCATATGCTTATTCCATATTCCTATATCCAACACATCATCAATCCATCATCAATTCAAATTTTAAACTA